ACGGATCACGTTCTCGAGAAAAACTTTGAGAACACCACGGGTCTCCTCGTAGATCAAGCCAGAGATTCGCTTGACACCGCCACGGCGAGCAAGACGACGGATGGCTGGCTTGGTGATACCTTGGATGTTATCACGAAGGATTTTTCGGTGACGCTTGGCGCCTCCTTTTCCGAGACCTTTACCTCCTTTACCGCGACCAGACATGTTGATTCCTACTCGTGTGTTTGAGTTATGGCAATTGAACGAACGTTATTAGGTTTTATACAGAAAGATAGGACCTCTCAGAAAACAGTATGGGAATAAGGGTTGCTATTGGTTGAGTCAAATATCTGAGCATAATTTTCCTGTTATATTAACATGTATTAACATAAATCACACGGTAATCCCGCACGCGTATGTTTCAATGGCAAACAAGTCTGCTCCATCCAAAAGTCACTTGTGAACTACGCTAAAAATTGGTTTTTCCCTCTAATTATGCTTTATGTTAAATTTAAAGCGAGGATAATACTTAGGTTATACCAAAACGACCTTCCATGTTACTTCGGATCAAAATAAGATTTCAGATCTGTGAAATTATTCACAGCTTTCGTACCTAACCAATCAAATCTCTTCATTTTGAGCCAATCACAAGTAAGCCCGCCAGGTATAAGTCAATTTCAATATACAATTCCCCATCATCAGTTAATCTGAGTCGTTGAACAGGATGGCACGAACGAAACAAACTGCACGAAAATCAACCGGTGGAAAAGCTCCCCGAAAACAGCTCGCCACAAAGGCAGCTCGTAAGAGCGCTCCTGCCACCGGTGGAGTCAAGAAGCCTCATCGTTACAGACCTGGTACAGTCGCTCTTCGTGAGATCCGTCGTTACCAGAAATCCACCGAGCTCTTGATCCGCAAGCTGCCCTTCCAGCGCCTTGTGCGAGAAATCGCTCAAGATTTCAAGACAGATCTGCGTTTCCAAAGCTCTGCTGTGATGGCTCTTCAAGAAGCTAGCGAGGCTTACCTTGTTGGTCTGTTTGAAGACACCAACTTGTGCGCCATCCACGCCAAGCGTGTCACTATTATGCCCAAGGACATTCAGTTGGCCCGCCGAATCCGCGGAGAGAGAGCATAAGTGGACTTCACTTCGAATTACAAACGGCTCCTTTAGGAGCCACCACATGAATAAAAGCAATGACCAAACTATGAGTCCCTCAACAACCAACTAAACAGCCTTAAGCTGGAAATATTAAAATTAGAAATTATACCATCTGAAATTGTCCTACTCTCTGAGTGGCAAGTCCTAACCGCACAGAAATCATAGTTGTCCAACCTAAAGCCGTTCATAGGAAAATATTTAATTTTTATCTCCAAGATAAGCTAAACATTCTATTTTTTTACCATTTCTCATTTTCATGTATCTATCTCTGAGACAAGTAATTTTTTTGGCGCTAATATAATGTAAATCATCAGCGCTCCCTGGTAAGTTTCGTCGTCACTCTCATGGGCTTCTTTAAGTTAAAAACATGACAAATTTTTCATGAGTTATCAATTCACAATAAAAGACACTTTTACCTTATTTACCAAATTAAGCACACTTCCTATCGAGGTTGTGCATTAAGTGGCGAACGTTGTTTCTTCAATCCTGCTTGTATATTAAAACAGGTTTTGGTCGTTGTTGAAATTTAGATGCCGGTCTGTCTTAGAATTTTGCTCATTTTTTACACAAAGGCTTAACTTAGGACTCCGTCTTTCCGACTGTAACCATATGATGTTTTTTAACTTGAATTTTCTTTTTTGGGGTGCTTGGTTTGTCCGCAAGCCCGGACCTACTACCTCGCCCCATAGAGGATCGTAAAAGTGACTCTTTATCGATCGACAATGAAGTATACTAGATACTCACAAACAGTATGCTATTTCGCGTAGTTCTGAACTTCACAGCACAACGTATAGGAGATCTGTTGCAGCATTTAGCAAGTACATCACATTGTCATCTGGTGTGCAATTTCTGCTTTGTGAATAAACTTTATTTCTGAGAATAAAGCTCTCTAACTCCACTCCGCTCTTGGTATAAAGTCTGCTCGGGAGTTGAGAGCGCGCAACTGATTCATGCATAACTAGCATGTTAGAAAGCGAGGCAAATCTGCCACACTAAGCAGATAACCT